CCCTCATCAACCTTCCCAGTCATTTCATTAAAGAACTCTAACAAATTTGTGAGGCATGATCTCCCATGCACAAAACCATGCTGACGACCCTAATCAAACCTTGTCTTAATAAATGCATGTATATCTTATCCTTCAGAATCTTCTCAAATAACTTATCTACCACAAATGTTAAGCTTACTGGTCTGTAATTCCCACGTTTTTCTCTGCATGCCTTTTTGAAAAAGGGCACAACATTCGCTAACCCTCCAGTCTTCTGGGGCCTCACCCGTGGCTAACGATGATGCAAATATATCAGCCAGGGCCCCCACAATTTCTTTTCTAGCCTCTTTCAGGGTTCTTGGATATATCTGATCAGGACCAGGAGATTTATCCACCTTCATACATTCTAATACTTCCAACACCTCCTCTACTGTGATGTAGACTGTCTCCAAGATATCGCCACTAACTGCACCAAGTTCCCAAGTCTTCACGTCTTTCTCCACGGTAAACACAGAGGAGAAATATACATTGAGGACTTCGCCTATCTCCTGCAGTTCCACACATAGATATTCACTTTGGTCCTTGAGGGGTCCTGTTCTCTCTCGAGTTATTCTTTTTCCTTTAAAATAAAGAATCTCTTTTGATTCACCCCAATCTTCTCAGCCAAAGCTATCTTGTGCCCCCTTTTCACCTCCTGATTTTCTTCTTCAGTAAACTCCTGTATCCCTTAAATATCTCCAGTGATTCCCTTGATCCCAACTGCCTGTTCCTGAGCCAGGCCTCCTTCTTTTCTCTGGTCAAAACCTCAATATCTCTTGTCATCCAGGTTTTCCTACTCCTACCAACCTTGTCCTTCACCCTCACAGGAACATATAGACCTTGAATTCTAGCGATCACACTTTAAAGGCCTCCCACTTGCCAGAGGTCCCTTTGCCTGCAAACAAACTACTCCAATCAACCCCTGCAAGCTCCTGTTTAATTCCATCAAAATCAGTTTAGAATTTTAGCCCCAATTTAGAACTTGAACCTGTGGACCAGTTTTGTCCTTCTCCATAACTGTTCTAAAATTTATAGAACTATGGTCACTGGTCCCAAAGTGCTTCCCAGCTGTCACCTCAGTCACCTGTCCCGCCCTTTTTCCCAAGAGTAGATCGAGTTTTACCCCTTCCCAAGTCGGACCCTCTATATACTACTTGAGGAAATTTTTCTGAACACATTTAACAAATTCCACCCTATCTAAGCCCTTAACTCTATGGCAGTTGCAGTCTATGTTAGGAAAATTGAAATCCCCCACTATGACAACCCTATTTCTCTTGCAAAATCTCCGCAATTTCCCTGCATATTTGTTCCTCTAATTCCTGTTGACTATTTGGGGGCCTATATTGTCCCTAACTCTGGGACAGATCATCCAGATTCAAGTGCCAGAAGTGTGCCATAATGTCTTTGAACATATTCTTCAAAAAAGAAGTCAAGGATCTCATGCACAGTGGTAGTGTCGCAATCCCTGGGCCAGAAGGTTTGACTCAAGTCCGATTTGCCTTGGAGGTGTCCCATAATATGTCCAAATACGTTGATTAAAAATAATTTTAAGGCTCGACAAAAGGTTATGTGTCGTTACTGTCCAAACTCATGTAAAAAGTTGCAGAGTAGGAATATCAAGCCTCAGGAAAGATGGGAAAGTCTGAGGCCCAAAACAATGTTCTGCTCCAAGGGACACCAATAACCTGTTATTAAATAATAAATATTGATAATTTTCTTTCATGGACTTGTGCATACTGAAATGTGATTTCACCTGGCTAAAATATCAAAACCAACAAAGAGAGGAAATATTCATATTGTCAATCTGAGTTTAATCAAATCCATCACCTTTTAGAGGTGAAACAACTATTCACCACTCACTAAGCAATCAATGAAAACATTTCTCACCAAATTTCTCGAACAAATAGCTTCCCTCCCTTCTTCTCTGTAGGTGTGAATAGTTCCAAAACATCAAACACCCTTAATACTTAATAAAACAGGATATTATTCCTACATAACCTTTGTCAATATGAGGTGGCAGACTATTTATGTTAAGGGCATCACAGCCCTATTCCAATCTTGTCCATATTTATGCATTATGGCTTTGGTTACTGGATAATGAGCAGGAGCAATAACCATGACCATGTTTTTTCTGATTAACTTGAGGATACATAGTCCCAATTTTAGAGCAACCAACTGCACCTATTTTTCCACTTTGTAAAATATGGATTAACACAGATTGGAGAAACCTGGAATCAGGAAGTTTCATCAGTTCATTTAATAAACTCACCCTCATACATTTTGAAAAGGCAAAATATACTGGATAAACAATGTTCAGTTTGAAATGGTGACAAAAATATATCGTCATGAGATTAGGAAAATTCCAACTTCGTCACGGGAAACAAGCCTGATAAGAACAGATAACATTTTTACTGTATACTTATTCAATCTGTTAATTTTAAATACTTTTCTTTGACAAGGGAGATTCTAAACATTTTTTTTCAATGTAGGGGGTCTAAATCATAGCCAAAGTATTTCCGCCAGCTTATTTTCTTTAACTACACAAACTGCATTTAGGACTACGGTTTAACATTTTAGCACAAAACTATTCCACTGTGTTTTTTTAAGTTGAGCAAGACCAGCACTGTGCATCATCCTTCAACAGGGCAAAGGCTTTAACATCAAAACATTTCTCCTTTTTTTTATTGCAGTATCTAGTAACAGTAATAGGGTTTGAAGTTTCTTACCCGCAATGTGAGTAGTTGCAATGTGGTTTTCTCACACTCAGTGTTGAGCTGCGACTGGCTAACTTTATTGTTTTCACCTTGATGTAGAGTGGGAGATCCTGTTGCAGACTTTGCTATCATTCTGAAGGTGGATTTGTGTCCTCCTTGTTTCACACTGTCTTTCCTCTTTCCAATTAAAGCAACATGATTTTTTTGAAGTGTTATATCATCTGTAAAGGAAAATCTCACATTAATTCAGTCAAGTGCTATTATTTGAAACAAAACAGAAATTGCTAGAAAAGCTCAGCAGGTCTGGCAGCATCCGTGGAGAGAAATCAGAGTTAACATTTCAGGTCCAGTGACCTTTCTCAGAACATCCGTTCTGAGGAAGGGTCACTGGACCCAAAGTGTTAACTTTGATTTCTCTCCACAGATGTTGCTAGACCTGCTGGGCTTTTCCAGCACTTTCTGTGTTTATTTCTGATTTCAAGCATCTGCAGTTATTTCAGTTTTTATTAGGTGCTGTTATTTCATTTATGATGGTGAGGTGTAAACTGTTTGATTGGTAAAATTATTAAACTATTATGTCAGAGGATGTACTTCATCAATAAAAAAATCATAATAAAAGTATAAAACATTTTTTAAAAATTCACCCTATTGTTTGGAAAGGCTGGTACTTTTTAATCAATGTCTCACTGGTTCAATCGTTTGCCCAACATTCTGAGCAGCACTGCATCTTTCTCTGATAAACACAAGTATTTTGTCTTTTGTTGACTAAGCTTACTATGTGCAGGTTGCCTTTCAAAACTGCTTCTGGAGTGAAATTAGTGTGCCGGTGGCCACACTGATAGCAATGTTAAGATGAAGGAGAATGTCTGGGGATTGGAGAGTTAAAATGGAAAACATACAAGTGCATTGAGAAGTTGGCTCTGATCCATCAACTTCCAGGTTTAACTCAATTCCACAATGTTGGGTTTGAATTTCTTATACCTTTACAAGAATTGATATTTTCTAATCGACCTGTTCAGAGATAGTATTACATATGTCTGAAGCAGGTGGGACTTGAAGTGGGCTTCTTGGCTCAGAGATGGGGATATTACCATTGCACCACAAGAGTCTCTACAAAAATATCCTAAACTGCTATTATCACAATCACCTAAACAGGACGTGATGTCATAATACCATGACTTATACACTATCTATGAGCAAAAGAACTAGAAGTCAGGTATGTGCAATAGTCTCACAGTTAACTTGATTCTGATTCAGTCTTGGCAAATAAAGAACCCATATTATTGTTTATCAATCCTTGTCACCTGATTGGTATATTTCAAAGATACAGAGAAGAACCTAACATTGTGGCTGCTTAGGTTTAGAAGGTTTGACTGAGAAGGTACAAACATTTCAACATGACCTATTAAACCAACCAATAGGTTACAATATGGAAGTGCAATTTTAAAGGGGATGCAAGCACAAAAACATATTACTGAGTAGGTACAGTCTACAGGTTATTCATAATTCTTCCAGCATTGGCACAATAGTGGTGTGATTCTATTGATACATGCATTTAAAACTGTCCACTTATGAAAAATATGTGCAAAGCATCAGGTAATAGAGGCCATTGGAAGCACCAATATAAAAAGGAAAGACCAAAAGAAGTGCTCAATGCAACAAGAAGCCACAGTCACAGGCCACAATGGTCCAGAATTCCAGTCAACTATGACCATGTGACAAATAGCTTCATGACAAGTTTTTTTTCATACAACCCCTACAGTGTGGAAGCAGGTCATTTGGCCCATCGAGTCCACACCAACCCTCTGAAGAACATTCCACCCGGATCCACTCCCCTACCCAACCCCTGTAACACTGCATGTTCCCATGGCTAACCCACCTAAGCCTGCACATCCCTGGGCTCTATGGGTCAATTTAGTATGGCCAATCCACCTAACCTATACATCTGAAACGTCAGCTTTCCTGCTCCTCTGATGCTGCCTAGCCTGCTGTGTTCTACCAGCTCCATACTGTGTTGGATAGACTGGGTATGTTTTCACTGGAACGCAGGAGGTTGAGGGGTGACCTATTAGAAGTTTATAAGATCCTGAATGGCAATAATAGAGTGGAAAGTATGAGGCTTTTTCTCAGGGTATACTAGGGGACACAGGCTCAAGGTGTGAGGGGGGAAGTTTAAAAGAGATGCGTGAGGCAAGTTTTTCACACAAAGGGTGATGAGTGCTTGGAGTGCATTGCCAGAGGAAGTTGTGGAAGCAGACACAATAGCAGCATTCAAGAAGCACTTGTACGAATATATGAATAGGAAGGGCGTAGACAGAAGAATCCTGTAAGTGAAGACAGTTTTAGTATGGAAGGGCAAAATGTGTTGGCGCAGGCTTGGAGGGCCGAGGGGCCTGTTCCTGTGCTGTATTGTTCCTTGTTCTTTGAATACCATCTAAACTATTCACAACTAGAGGACGAAGGCAACAGAACATAAGGACGCCCTAATAGCTTTAGTAGCTGACCTAACATACCTACACCTGGAGAGATTTGATAGATTGGAGGTTTCAAGGATGGTGCAGCATTGTGTCAGTGTGCAGATACTAGCCCATCCATCAACTTTTCAGGTAAGTGCAGCATTCACATTCAGAATATGAACAAACTTAAACGGATAAGATGGAGAGAGATGGCTTAGTCTGAAAGGTTCAACATCACACAGATTGGTAAAGTTCCTTCATGAGTGTCAGCAAGATAGATGTATGTATATGCATTTATTTAGACACAAGGTGTTGGAATGTGGCTCTAAAATGATGCCTTTACAAAATTTCAACTCTTCAAGTGTCCAACCCTTGATCTACAACATTGCCTGAATCTGTTTAATTTCATTTCGCTATGAATACCTGTAACTAATTAAACCCAGAAAGAGTAATTTCTTTAAGAACTAATGAATAAAGAAATATCCTTTTTTGGCAGGAGGATCACCAATATATTACGAATGACGTTAAAAAGCCATTAATGGAAAGAACATCAAATGTTCAGTTTTTTTCGCCCAACTGGGGAGACAATGCATGAGGTTGATGCCTCCCAAAAGAGACTTGGATTATGCCTTTTGGAGAATTAAAGGCTATTTCTTTCGCCTCGAAGAGTGTGTCCACTGCCCATATCAATTATTCAAATATGGAATACCTTAGCACTGGCATTTGGCACCTAATAGTTCTACCTTTGCACTTTTGGAAAGAAATTCATTATGGAAACTGAATACGACCTGCTTGAAATGATCTAGTGAAAGCTGCTGAATTATGTGCCACCAGGACTGTAGTGCCTACAAGTCAAAATACAAATGTACAGTTGTGACATGCCACAAACCAGGCAATTCCATACTCATCTCCTAAATCTTAAGCCATTTGCCGAACTTATCAAAAACTACAGACCTTTTCCTAAACCTACAAGTAGTTGACATGGACATTGAAACAGAGGACATTATGCATATTGTTATGGGCACTGGAGATTTTTTCCAATAAGACTTTCTGTAAGTCATATGACTGGTGATAATTGCTTACTTTGTTTTAGATCCCTGTTGGGACTGCTTTGACTGGCTTGGGAGGTCAATTGGAGGAAAGTCTCGCAAGAACAAACTGAGTTGGAGTAAGCTTGGTAAAAACAATCTGCCCCCCTGCTCACTCACATTTCTGCTAAGAATATCCTCTTGTTGAGTTAAAGGTAAGAACCATTTGTTCTTTTAAAACAGTAATTGGAAAATCATCTCAAAATTGTTATTTCCTGAGCAAGTTTTTGTGTCTGCAAGACTTCAGAGACAACCATGCATGATTAGTGACCTGATTACATAAGCTGGCATATCAAAGCAACAAACTCCAGAACATTCTATGCTTTATCCTTTTGATTTCAACAATAACTCAAGTGGGGTTTTTCTAGGAAGTGAATCTCTTCAGAGAAATTTGTTTTATCCCTGATTCCTAAAGAGTGCCTGTGGTACAGCATTATCCAGGGGAGTTAGCACCTGTATTTCTATATTACTGACTGTATATATTAACTTTTATTACATTTTTTAAAAGAAGCTTTGGTTTTGAGTAATAAATCAATAACTGTCTTTATTGGAATATCTGGTTGATCTATATTATTGTTTAAAATCCGATATAGATAGGGCATTTAGTTGGTCATCTTGGTAACTTTAAAAAGCATTGTTATTTTCTGTTGTGACCAATGGAGTTGTGGGACTAGAGTTATAATGCAGTCCTCCAATCTTTGTTGAAACAACATTGAACTTGTGCATTTTGGGCAATAAAAATGCTAAACGTTGCAGTTGGAAACATTCAGTCTTCTTGTGCTTCAACAACAATGGAGATAAGTGACTGGTGGATATTCCAGAGGTTAATAAAATTTTGCTGTACAGTTAAGAACTTGGGATATCTTAAGGAGTCATCTTTAATGGAATGCAAGCTGTAATCCTAGTGCCATGTGACCTGATATCCTCCAACACTTGCACCAGGCACACTGGGAATTGATTAATTGGACAAGGTGATGGTACATTAGTCAAAAATCTACCAAGAGGAATGGCGAGCTGTGAGAGGGTGCACGATATGTCAATCTTCATGCCTAGAAGCACTACTGCCTCACATAGTACCCATGCATCCATAGACTAGACATGTAACTGATCGCTTTAGTATCTGTAGAATGATTTCTTGGCTGTAATGAATGACTTTCTTTCAAATTTCCCTTATCTGTCAATTACAACAAATCTAGTGTATCTTTTACAGACTAATTAAGTTCAATCACAGAAGGTAGTCTCTGACAACTGACTCCAACATAGTGGGTGATCCTTTAAAGTGGTGTGTGAGAATTGGGAGTCAACTTGTGTTTGGCTCAAAAATGATACTTCCAAACCAGATCATTAAGGGTTAATCAATAATGATTAATTGGACATGACAATGAGCAATTGAAGAAAAGTAGAAAATTACATGGAGAGCAGTCCCAGTGCAAAAAAAAAACAGATTGTTTTGGCTGGAATGTATAACCTTGATTGTCTGTTGGAACCATTCTTTTATGGAGTTAACATGGAGCAATCTAAAGATGTTTTCAACTTGTTTTCTGCTGAATGGAATGTCTGATAAGGTACTGAAAGTACTACAAAATGGTGATACAGCACATAACCAGAATAGTATTAATATTGGGGACCTTTCCCCACCTGGGGGACTTTTCACCAGAAGGACACTTCACCAAGGGA